TTTCATTCCATCATTCCCCTAGATAATCTTGTAAACCTCAATAAGATTACTTCTTACTCATCTTTTTCTCAAGAGATATTAACCTATCCTCATAACATAACCATTCCATTCTGAGAATCATGCTAGTAACCTTTCTTTGAGTCTGATCTAAAGTTAGCATCATTTTTTAAGGAAACCAAATTTGTACACAGTATTTTAAGCTAGGCCTAACTATTGATTTGTATAAAGAAATATTTACCTCTTGAATCTATAACTATAAATACTACTTAATATTCCAGTAGCTTAACTGCTCACAACAGCATTATCTTGAGTGACTTATTTACTACTATACCAAGATCCTTTTCTTTTCAGTCCTGCTTTTCAGTGCATTCCCATCTACATTAAATGTGTGCCAAATTATGATAACCCAAATGCAATTGAAATTGTCTTGTGAATCATGTAGATATAAATCCTTTGTTGGTAAGTAAAAAAAAAAAGGGAGATTAAAAATGGATAAGGTGCCAGGAAGACAATGTTTTCCCCTGGGTTTTGAAGGAGATCACAAATCAAATATTTAAGCTTCTCTTCTTCATTTTTGATAGATGAGTGGTTAATAGACAGTTGCCTAAGGATTGGAGAGTTGTTAATGGTGATCCTGTTTTTCAAGAGGGAAATTATAGACCAGTTAGTCCTTCTTCTATACTGGGAAAGATATTATAAGGTCTGGCTAAATAAACTTTGCAAAATCATTTGATTAAGTATATCATAAGAGAACAAACTAAATGAACATCTTGTCTAATTAATCTGTTAATTGTTTTTTGGATGTTACTTATCTGCATGATGAGAAAGGTATAAACCTTGTGTAAGATTTCCAAAAGGCTTTTGCTAAGGTACCTTGCAAAATATTAGCTAAGAAAATCACATCAGCAGGGTTTGGGAAATGACTAGTTAATTAGATTGAAGGGTAGCTGGATGAGAGAGAAAGCAGAATGGTTATTATTAATGGAGTCCATTTAAACTGTACCATTGTTATTAGTGACGTTCCTCAAGGGTCAGAGGTTTCATTTTTTTTACTGTTAACAATTAAAAACTTTTTACCTTTGAAACCTCTGATAATAATCCATATAGATTCAATCTTTTGACTGTTCTTTGTCTTCACTCAACATTCTGTAGCTTACCTCTTATATAGAAAGTCATTCCACCCCTCTTTTTAAAAGTCTATCAATACATATTGAATAAGATGTAATCTGGAATTTAAAAATAATTCTTTTTATCAATCTCTCTTCAAATCTAACCAAATCATAGTGATTCCCATTATTTCATATCTTTCCATTTCATCTAGAACTCTGAAACCATTCATTTTGTTCCTAATATTTTTAAAATTAGAATAATAGCGATTTAGTTTCTTAAATCTACTTTACTCACCTTAAGTTTGATAGACTAATCTTTTCAAGGTATTATTTAACTTTTTATACTCTAAATCTTTGTTTCCAATGACTCCTCTGTTACAGCTATAGGATTTCAAAACTGGGGTGTGAAACACTCTTGGGTGTCAAATTCTGATGGCAAAGCTTTGAAATCTTTAAAACAAGTGTGTGTGTGTGATCATTATATAATAATTACATGACTGAATAGACATCTTTTTAGTCTAACAATCAGGCTGATTACTGTTACTCTTAAAAAGTGCAACAAGTAATAGCTCATGATCAAATATTGATTACCTTACAAACAAGCTACTTGGTAAACAAATTAAAGTTATGCTTCTTTTGGTTGCATGTGTGAATATACCTGTATGATTCCATTTTTGTGTGTGAACTTGGAAATATGTGTGTAAGGTATTCAGGATTACTAGTTATTGAGAACTTTGGCAAATTTTGAAACCACTATGGGTTATGTGTCTGTTAACTGGACCATTACAACCAGTTGTTCTAACTGAATTATGTGATGTACAGTATTTCTTATGATGGGTTATGTGTTTGTTAACTGGACCATTAAAACCAGTTGTTCTAACTGAATTATGTGATGTACATATAACAGTATTTCTCATGATGGGTTATGTATCTGTTAACTGGACCATTACAACCAGTTGTTCTAACTGAATTATGTATTGTACATATAACAGTATTTCTCATGATTAATGAAATTCTTTAAAGTTTGAACAAATGACTTGCTACCAACTCTGTCTAAGTGGATCCCACCTCTAGCATGTAATCCACTGGTGCTCTAACCAGACCACCTGTTGCTCTAAGCTTATTTATGATAATCCCTTATTTAAGTATTAGATCTTGCTAAGTAATTCATTCCCACATTGAACCTAAGGGAACAACCACTTGTTGCTCTGTGTATATCTATACTAATCTGTCGTTTAATTTTTGGATTCTGTTAAATAATTCATTTCCACATCTAGCCCACGGGAGCACTTTCTTACAAGTCACTCATTTATTTCTAACCCTAAATTTCTGAAGTTTTTCTTACTTTCCAAGCAACTCTTCCAATTTACAGCATCATTCACTCTTGCATGCATTACAAAAAGTAGAGAGATTCTTACTCCCAATAATTAAACTGTCAACACAATAATGGCCCTGTATTTTGTCACCTGGCAAGTGTATTATTATTCCAAACTTTCTCTGGTCCTCACTACAAATAACTTTATTACAGTACTTAGTGAGAAAGTGCTCTGCTATGTAAGCCTATTCATCATCATCATTTTCCTTATTGGAAGCATACCAAGCAACCATAGGTTGACACATGGAAAACATGTACCTCAGTGTCAACAAAATCTACTTCTACAGACTTAACTTTTTACACCATTTAAACTCGGAGCTTTCATTCTCTCCCAGAACAAACTATATCCTAAAACTATCTATTTCATCTTGTCTTGCTTCCTTGTCTTCAGCTCTTAATCTGTTATTTTTTCACTCTAATAGAAACAAAGAACATTGGGTACCATCTGCATTCCCATGCATTTTAGTCACTTTAAAAATGAGTCATCTAAGGCCTTAAAAATCATTTGTATGTTTCATGTAGGTGAATCTTTATCATGTTGCAAAAAATTCTGAATTATTTATTTCCTTTTTGTTGCTGTTGTTGTTAATTGCCCTACTGATATTATGTACTTGTATTTGAGAGAGAGGGAAAACTTGCTATCAGAAGAGTAGGTAACAGTCTAAACATTTTACTCAGACAAACATGTATTTGTGAGTGCATTAATATGACTTATGTTTGAAACTACCATGTTATGAGGTAGTGTAGACACTTGTACTGAATATCTCTTTTTGTGAAATATGCCTTATTCAAACATGTTTAGTCAGGTTCTGACTAATTTGGATTTAAGGTTGCTCATGTTACTTGTGTTAAAATTAATAATGTATTGTTAAGGAAGCTGAGAAATTGATTCCCTAACTGTATTTTGTGAGTAAATGGTGCTTCCAAATTTTACTTCAATTTTGGCCCATTGGTCAATTAGTAGAATATTAGTTTATAAAATATTTTCTCTTAGCATTTATGTTAAACTTTGTTAATCTTAAGGAATTTCCATTGTTGTTAAAATAATTGATATTAGGTGATGTGTTTTTTTTTTATCACATCTAATTATTTTAATTGGGGGAGATAACTTGTACAAACAACTAAAGTTTTGCTTCTTTCCTTCTATTTTTGAAGTTGGGAGAACTTCTTCAAGGTGTAATTGAAGTTGAGGGTGTTGTCCACAATCCTAAGGCAGTGGTTTGCAAACGCTATTTTATGTTTCCTCAAGAAGCAGCTGAAGAATTTGGTAAATTTTTATTATAATATATTGTATTCTTAAGTAAACTGTAATAAGAAGGATCTGTTTAATGAGTAATTTTAGCCAGAATAATTTGAAATGTAAATGGGAGGTATTATTAATAGTGAAATGGAAAATTTAGTTTATAAGTAGTATTAACTTTGAACATCATAATTTGTAATGATAATGAGTGAAATACATGTACACCTATAATAATATGAAAACTGACATATACCAGAGATGTACTATATTTCTTTTTTTTTTCTCAAAATTGTGTTATGTAAACAGTGGTTACAGGTTTTTAAGATTAAAGCTAATGGGTCCATTCCCACTGCTTTAAGAAAAATATTTTCATGTTAATTTGGATGTTAAAAGCATGTAAAGTGTACATTTAACTTATTTCCAAATAACTTTCTAGAGTGTTTCAAAGATTTAATGAAGTTATTTTAGTTATGGCAAAAAAATATTTGTTATTTTTCATGATCAGCATAATTTTGCTGGTCCTACCCTTACTCTAGATTAAGATTAGAATAGTCATATTTGAAGAAACCATACTATTAATAGCATTCATGCCAGGACCATTTGTTATTATTAAGGTATTTTGAGAGTGTCTACCGTGAATATATAAGTGGCAAACTACACTTTGTTGTTAGCTTAAGGGTTTTGGAGTTTTTTTGTTTTTTGTTTTTTTCCACTTGACAATCAGAATTGTTTCTGATCATTGTTCAGTTACCCAAAGTATTATTGTTTTTGTTTGTTGTTGTTTTTTACCAAACAAAACAGTGTGTGACTTGTATGCTAAGTATTTTGATAGGTAAGATACTGGCCATTCGTGAAAGGATTTGCCAAGTATTAGATTGCAAGCTTTTACTTTTTAATATTTTTGAGGCATGTGAAGTTCTTAACATCAAGAGAAAGTTTCCAGAATAATGAAGGATCATAAATCAATTAATTAATTTTCTTAATTTTAACTACAATTTGTATAAAAGTTATGAAAATTATTAGTTTTAAAAAGTTGTCATATTTTTCACCTCTTGAATTAAAAAAAAAGTAATTTATTGTTTGTTTTTTGAACAGATATAAATTTGCATAATGAAGCTGTTAAGTTGGTGAACCAGTACCAGAACTTCTATCAGTGCGTGACAGATTGAACATACTGAAAAGTTTCCCCACGTAACACTAATGAAGACTATAATAGATATTATGTAAGCCTACTCTTCGTAAAACTGTTGTTAATATGCTTTATGAAATATAAAGCTGTTTAAAAGAAATTGTCTAAACTTGGTAAAAAAAATTACCTTGTCTGGACAGAAACAGTAACATACATCTTTTTAAAAGATTTACTGTGATTAGTACTGTACATATGAATTGATTGTAGTCGCACTGTTTGTTTTAACCCATAACACAATTTTTTTTTTTTGTTATGATAGAAAATACATTTTGCAGTGACTGTAATATTTTCATACAATGTCATTATATTAACACAGAAAATTATATTGGTACCTTTCCAATTGAAACTGATTAAGCATTCAGAAGACAGAATAAGTGTGTTCTAGAAACAAAAAAGAAAGAGAGAGAGAGAGAAATTTTATACTAGTATTTTTCAATATTTACATGTTTTTTGATACTAAAATCAATATTAAAGTCTTAACTGTGCATCTTCAGATCTTGTTTTGTTTGCTTTTTATTGATCAGGCCAAGAAGGACAGATCAGTTGAGTTCTACATAAAGATAAAACTTAACCATGCTGATTAGACTTTTTATCATTTATAAGTGTTTTAACAACTTACTCCAAACCTCACATTCAAATGCAATATTTGACAAGTAAACAAATTGCTTGTTTCAAACTTAATAAGCTATATAAATAATATGTTTAAATAAATATGAGATGTATATGCATAATTTATCATGAAATATAAATTAATATAATCTGAGACTTTCCACCATAAATAAACACTGACTGTAATTTCAAATGTTTTACTATTTTAACTTGGAAACACCATTACATTATCCAGTGGGAGCTCTGTAATATTATTGAACATGTAAAAATATAATAAACATCTTCATAGGTTTAAATTTTTACAGCTTCTATTACTCTTTAAGTGTCTTTTATTGAGTTATACTATACCGATTAACATAACAGTGGCATAACATAGTTTATTAAATAAAAAATAACATGATCTCTATCATAATTTTGTAGAGTTTGCAAACTGCCTGTGAATGATTATTTAATACATCTGTTTTGTTTGAGGTGATAGTTAAGTGAATGCTTCTCAATAAAAGCTTTATAAAGTTAAGAAACACCTATTTGTTTGATCATGTAATGATTTTTCCAATAGACTTTTATGTTGCTAGCCACACATCCAGAGTATTTTTTAAGCAAATTTTACTGAGTGACAAAAAAATTGTGGGTAGAGAAAAGTTCGTGATTTATCAAAAAATATTTTTTATGTTTCTGAATAAAAAGTGTACACAATACAATTATTCCAAAAGGGAAACAAAAGTTTACACTTATAGGTTTTTTAATTTCATAAAGATTTGAACTACAAAAATACAAATAAAATTTAATCTTGAAGAGCAAACTACATATTTAGATATAGATAAATAATACAAAAATGTATTCAAAAATTTCATTTAAAAAGTATTTTCTTTAGCAAAATATTTTTCACAAAATCATAGGTTTGGTATAGTTCTTTATGTGGAACACTGTAACAACATTCTTTTTTCTGCAAGAATTTTGTCACAGCTGGTCATGATCAAAATAAGGAGTTCCTGTATTGTTAAGTGAAATGTACATGTGGCTGTTGATAGTCTCCCTTGAGTAGCAAATCTGTTTCGGGCCCTTCAGGTCTTATACTGTGAGGAATTAGTAATACACATGTTTGCACCAATTTCAAAAAAGACAGTTCCAGGCACAGAGATCTTCAACAAATAGAATAATTTTACAGGACCATAATTACCATATGTAACATCACATGGTACAAGAAAATTTTCAGAAGCAAAATGTTCAATGACTTCAATACAGAACTGTGTGAGAGAATTTTCCCCCAAAAAGTCCCTCTACCACATTCCTTGTAGAGTCAATCATCTCTATTGCGCTTGTGCCTCAAGAAACATCTTCATCTGTTTTACAATGTTGTCTTGGTTCTCTGCGAGTCTCTGGGTTAAAAACTGTTTCGCACTGATTACGATTTCAGTCCTGACACTTGTCAAACACCATTTTGTTGTAACAAGAGAATTGTGAACATGTCTTCTTTCACTATTAGCAGTTGCTTTTTCAGTGATCTTTTTCAGCTTTTTTTCTTTACCACCTGGGAATGAATTCAACTCCTTTTTTCCATAGTCTCAAGAAACCTCTAGCTGTTGCTTTATTATTTCACGTACTGCTCTCAGATGTGCAGGTAAAGTTATATTATATCCTTGTGGATGGCAAATTCTTCCAGACTGATTTGCAGAGGTTAATCAGATGTTACACAGAGTGCTCTAGAAACCTGTAGAACTTTGAACAAGATTCCTCCACAGTCTTTTTTAACTCTTCAGTTTAAACTGCCGAAGCTCTTTAAAATGAGCCATGTGCTTCAGATTTGTTCTCCAATGCTTGACTTCCATCATCAACACTTCTAGGTCAAAAAATACTAGGTCAGGCCTGTGTGGTACACACCATACATAAAGTACTTCTTTATCTAAATATGCTTTAAACTTGGCCCAGAGTTTACGTTTCTTACTGGTACTGGCACTTTCACCATCTGTTGTCAGCCCAGTCAACTTCTCCTTTGAAATTTCTTGAACACCAAGTTTTTACAAATTAATAACAACAGCATCTAGCAACCTTTCAGCACCATGCTTGTCAGAATGACTTTTGCCCAGAAAACATCCTTCATACGTTTTTCTTTATTCAGGTACTGAGCAGTAATTAATTTGTTGTTGACTGTATATTTATCAACTTGGCCATTAACCTGTAGTGAAAAACAATCAGCATCTTTCAGCTCTTGGGTCACAGTTTCTATTACCACCTCAACAACCATATCAAGCATTTCTTGATAGATTTTGGGTCCTGGTAATCTAGAACAGGTGCAAGTGGATCAAAGACAATGAAAGTTGAGCCCATACTCACGGTACCTTGAGATTTGGTTATCAACATGCATTTTTGCAAATGATCAGGATGGCCAAGAGTTTGTAGACAGAGTCATTTGCTTACTATTGTTATGTACATCAATAGCCATTTCAAGTAATTGGGACATAATGTCAGCATTATGGGACTTCAGAACCTTGATCCAGGGATGTTTATCTGACTGGGACAACCATAGTTGCTGGGCCTCATCTTTTCAAATTGCCATACTATAGGCATCACTGTGTAACTGATCAACAATACTTTTAAGTGCTTTTATGCCATCAGACTTTACCACATCAGCCATACGAAACTTGTACATTGCGAGAATACTACTTGGCTTCTGTAATTTGATGGTAGCACACCATGCGTTTTAGACCTGATCTTTTTCCTATACATACCTTTTTTGATGTAGTAGAAAATGAATTGATTAACCACATAACATCCAGCTTGTATCCTACCACTCTGTTTTTTGTTTCTTCTTCCACCTGGGCAATGAAATCTGAAGATCCAACTGATCTAGATGCAGAAGTAGCAGCCGATTTGAATACAGAAGCTGAGGCAGTAGACGAAGAATATGTTGCATAGGTCACTGAAACTGTAGACATCATTGAATCTATGGAGGATGTAGGAGGTGAGGAATAAGTCAAAGATGGTACAGTTGTAGATACCGTCTTAGTTTATCTTTTCTTAGCTGGAGCACCAAAGAAGTCTGTAATCCATTTGGACATCTCAGAGAAGTGGCCAACAAATCTGAACTTAAGATCAAAACACATTTTTTTGTCATAAACAAAATTTGTAAGTAATTTCAGTCACAAAGAGCTGTAATTCTCTCTCTTTCTCTCTCTCTCTCTATATATATATGTAATAGACTAAATTTGAACTGTTTGCATTTACCTACAACAAACAAAACCGTATTTGAAGAAATGATATATTTGATCATTTTCTGACTTGTATAAAGTGGCACGTTAATTACTAACGTATAATAACCGTGTGAAAATAATGTTTATGAAATGCTATTGGAAATTCAAAAATCAATGAATATTAACTTTAACCACATTACTTTGCAATTTATTGCTGATGTTTAAATGATTTTCAAATATTATGCATCATTTCCCGTATCACATTGCAAAGATATTGACTTTATTCAGGAATTCACACACCACATTTACATTGGAAACTAATCTTTTATGACTATGAGGTTATGAAGTGAACATTCAACAAGCAAATTTTAGTAAATTTATTTCTAGAATTTCCAACAAAGACACTAGCATGTTAGTTTTTCTTTCTGAATTAACATATAACTTATTGATGAATACGATTCATTAATAATACACAACCTGTAATGAAATATCTGTAAAAATAATATTAGTTTTATAACAACAACAAAAAATATTGTTGCCCAGTAGTTTAAAATTCCATTTGCTAAGCTACAAGTTCTCTTTACTGGGTGACAGAAATGTGACCCAGTCACTATCCTCTTCACACATCTGCAGAAAGTTTGATAAACCAAAATTATTACATTAATTCATTGACGTGAATTAATTATGGAGTAACTTATGTAAATGATTAAAATAAACGTGTCTTCCCAAATGACAAGTAGCCATGGATACAGTTATGTATGCAGTACAACTTAGTTCAATAAACTTCCAACATATTCATGCTAGAAAGTATAAAGTTTGTAAGAAACATACAACAATTGTTGCAATATGGTTTTAACATGTACATATGCCATAATAAGACAAAATGTATGTAAAAACCTAAGAAACTCAACTCCAGAGGCTACCAAATTTTGAGATCAGGCAACCCTGAACTCCATATAAATCAGCCCAGGCCTAGCGTGATTTTACTTGCATGAAACGTGTATATTTGTAAAACCTAACTTTATATTGAATTATTAAAATTTACAAAAAATGCTAACTGTCATTATCTTTTCTATCAAATTGTTAAGTATCCACTGTCTCTGGAAGTTTAAGACAAAAATGTCTGTTCATTGACAATAGGTTAATCCATTGTATGCCTGGTATAGAAACATGTGTGACTCAATTCCTAACTTGTAAATTAAAATGTCCAGTTTTTTTAGTTCCATATGTATAACACTTCCTAACTTACCTGATTATATTTGCTGGAATTAGAATAGTTAATTTTTGAACATGAACTTTAAAATATGATAATTACATGTGGCCTTTGTGACAGGGTCTTTTCTTATTACTATGACATTTAAAATTGCCTAGGCGAGATGCACTAGACTGGAATTTTTGATATGTGTCCTTGTGTTATTGAAGGGCAGATAAATGTCCAAGTTAATGGTATTTTTATATACTGCTTAAGAATTCTCTTGTCTACCTCTTCATAATAAAAATAAACTTTGAATTGACACACGTGAAAGTAATCAAAAGATTAATCCAAAAATATGAAGTTTCACCAAATCATTAAAACTAGTTGAAGCAGGAAAAATTTTAGTTTAACCAAAGTTTAAATTTATTCATAGAAGTTGAACATCATTGTAATGAGTATTGAAAAAAATTTTTTTTTAATGCAGAACATAGTTAATTTGCCAAAATTAATGAAGGTTTTTTTTTGCTTCAACAATGTAATGATTATTAGTTATTTCAGCAGAATGAAGTTATCAAATATTTAATGTAATATACTATATATTTGACACTACATAATACAGTATATTTATTGTTATCTATCTTTAGTGTTAAAATTGACAATCTTTGAAATAACTTTCACTTGAAAGGTGGAAGTTTTTTTTAAATTGTTTTCAGAGTGACACTAGTGTTTGGCTAGTCAGAAAGAATATTTAGGAAGACAACATGTATCTTGTCAAATATTTTAAAAACCATGCATATACTTATCTCTAGGTAATTTGACAAAAAAAAACTAGAAGTTGTACATAAATATGCACAAGTATACTTTTAGAATGATTATTAATTAATTTTTCACTCTTAATGACAAAATTTAT